AATGCGCATCACTGAGAAGCCATCACAGGAAAGTACAAAATGACAGACGAAATTAAAAGGAGAGAAAGAGGCTATACGAACACTTGGGGTGGGAATGGACATTGTGCTCGGGACAGTATGTGCCTCCATGTTGGGGATGGCGGCATACATCTGGGCCTGACCATATTTGGTTGTGGGTGGTATTTACTATTATATGTTTTGAATTGTTTAATTGTCTGACTTATTTCTTTGCATATATATAGCTATACATGTTCAGTTGGAGAAATATATGCACTTGAGGAAGACCTTCTGATAGGCTGAAACGCGCAGTCCAAAGACCGGGACCCCTGTGTGCCTGATGTTGAAAATAGGAGTCTCAGCGTGGAAGTGGACAATCAGGGTCTGGTGCAGAGTAACCACACACCCCTTGGTGTTGAGCACCAGGGTTTGTGCAGCCACATACCAGAGTCCTGATGCAGCTTAGCGGATGCCAGGAACTGATATTAAGCAGATATGTATCTAGTACTAGAAACAAGGTAAGACTAGAATAGGTACCAAACAATATAGCAAGACAAGACTAAAAGAACCCAGAATTGGAGAAGGACAGAAAGCAGAACCCAGAACATGTATACAATACATGAGGAAAACATTAACAGGACATGGACAGGGCAGGACAGGACAGGACTGTACATGAACTGGGAATTCAAGATGAAATCAAACGAGACAAGAGATACAAGGCAAAACAAGAGGAGACAGAACTAAGTACTATATATGTAATAAACATTGGAGATTTAGACATACATAAATGGACAAGATGTATGCTGCCCACCACTGCACCAAAGTACTCCAATTACGGTGGGTCCTAACTGAGTAGATATGCATGACTAAATGAACAACATTAAAACACACACAGTACTTACCTGCAAAGAAAGGAGCATTGCTGGCAAGAACAGACTGAAACAAAAAGGATTAATGGCAAAGGAACAGGTATGGCAACAAAAAACAAACAAGGAATCCAGTAGACTAGGAATTCCAGGAACGGAATAAAGGAATGAACCTAGAAAACTAAACATAAAGACAACCAGACAGAGAATAGAAAACCAGAAAAACTAAACAAGAAATTCAAAAAGAGTACTGGATACCAGAAGCCAAGGCCAGACATACCCGCAGAATGGAACAGGATGTGACACTCTATTTTTTTTTTTAGTAAGATGTTAATAAATATACATCATTTAATTCTTACCCTGAACTCTGGAGTTCCTGTATTGCAGCAGGGCCGAGTTCCTGAGAGCAATATTTGGAAATGCCATCACATATCTCTCTTATGAGATAAAAAGCGCCATAAGTATCGTGCCAACTTTTAATGGGCTCTTAAAATTGTGAAAGAAATGTATGTGTATTGGTTACCAAAGAAACAGTGAGTGTAAGGTAAACCAAAATATCAAAATATCTCTTTCTCTGTGTGCAAATCACCTTATCATTTTTCCAATTTTATCAATATTGTGAAACCCTTTTGAATTTCCATGAGTTTGCAGTTTAAAAAATATATTTATGGATATTAGTGTTTCATTTAAAAAAAACAAAAAACATTTGTTTTTCATGTTCACACATGAATACATAGAACACAAGAGGAAAAAGGGATGGGAAGGATGGAATAAAGTGAAACAACTTTACACAGTCATGTAAATTATGAAACATAGCAGTTCATTGAATCCATACTCAGTTGTGAAACCATAAGAAAGCATAATTCAGGCGGCATTTTTATTGTATATCATTTGTTTATTTTATTATTGTTGGTCCCTGAGGAAGTTCTTTTGACAGAACAAAACACGTAGGACAGGGCCATTTGATCTTATTGTTTTTATCTGCCAAATAAAAGTTTTTGCACTTTACCTGATTCCTGCTCCTGTTCCTGGGGGTTCCTGGAATTCATCACCAATGAGAGTGGGGCAAGAGGCTCTTTCTGGACCCCCCATTGCTATCAGGGGAGGCACCTATAAGGCGGTCTCACAGTTTACAGCTTGACATACAGCTATATCCCTTTGTTTTCATCTCTCTATATATATAAGCTTTAAGCAATTTTGTTTTTTATTTTATATAACTCTATAAGTTCCTTTTTTATTTATTAGAACAATAAAGTTGTGTTTTTTTAATCTTCTTTATTATTTCAGGGACCTATTAGTGTCTTATATATCTTTGTGCATATTGGAACGTGGTTGCTATTAATTTTATATATAACACTTATTTTAACATTTTTTTCCATTCGTTGATTGTTTCTATTGATTTGATGATTCATCCACCTTCTCAGTGGTTGATTTTAGAAAAAATATTTAATAAAAGTTGCATTATGCTTAAATACACATTGATCCCCACTGCTGGAACAGTCAGCCCATTATGAAACATCTTATAAGAGAGAGGAAAAAGGTTTTCATTTTCAAATTGATTGCAATCAAAAACCTCAAATTCCTCACCTATATCAGCTATTTCAGGTTTCATGTAACTATTTAATTTGTACTATCTGTATGATACCGTATGATAGTGTCAATAAACATCAAATTAATTCAAAGAAATACAATAAAACAGTGAACTTTACTAGAATGGACTTTGATTCTTTATATAGAGAATTGAATCTGAAAAGTATTTTCATGTCAATAATTGCCCAACATTTTTCTTTGGAAATGAGAATAAAAGGGCAATCATTCAGTGATCACTGCTATTTTGTATTTATATCATATTAAATATTATTATAATGGAAAAACAGTCTTGAGTATTAGAAGCTGAAAACTGTTTTTTTTTTTCTTTAATTATTTGGTTTCCCGTAATGAAAGGTTTCGGAGCACAACCTGATTTGTGATTAAACCATACTATAATACACACTAATTGAAAAATATCAGTTCATTTTATAAAAACCTATAATTCTAATATTTCCTTCCTTACTTCCTTTGTTTCTATGGATTGGGTGATTCCTCCACCTTCTGAGTGGTTGATTTTAGCATAAATATTTAATAAAAGTTGCATTATATTTAAATACATACGTTTGGGTCTGATCCATGTCTGTAAACTGCTCACTATATCCAGAGAATGTTGTGGTTTGCACCTCCATCACTTTGAGTCATTTACTGAGAATTGGGACAGTGAGAGAGCTCCTGAAATAATATGCACAAGATAGAGGTGTAAACCACAACCCTCCCTCATTCTCACTGGACCCCCAGAGAATGCCATCCACAAAACCACCAGAAATTATACCCCACTCCAGCCAGATGGTAAGCAGGAGGGAGGCAAATAAACATTTACAAAGAAAACACAGCACACAGCATTCCTTCCACCCTTAGCCCAGACAATCAACACACACAAAACTCATCTACTACATATTTTCCAACACATACAGCACTCAACCAGTCCACATGAGACTCAGCCTCCTCTCCCACAAAATACTAAGTCATCATACATAAACAAACTTGGTCACCCCCATTGATCTGCCTAGGTTCCTTTGTAACACGGATCGTTTTTAGTAGTTTCCTAATATGTAAATAGTGCACCTTCAACAAAACATCTCTTGGTAAGGAATTCCAGATGTGCTTAGGTTTTGGGAGTCTGTGCAGTTGATCCAAGAGGAACATATCAACCGACATTTAAGGAGCTATAATTCTTAACTGTGGACAATGGCGGTTAAGTCTTTTGCCGGGACAGATTCAGGTATACTCTAGAGCAGTCTTGAGCAGTGTCTTGAGCAGTCCTCGATATCCATGATTTGCTGTTACAGTAGGTAAGTTGAGCATCTAGTTGTAAGATTTTATTGACCGCCATATTGTGGGTCTCAACAATTTCATCTATCTTGATCTCAACATGTGCAATGCAGGGTGATATATTGCAAAATAAAAATGTAGTCAATAGTTAAGTTGAAAAATGCATCCAACTGAGCTATGTTTTCAGCTCAGCTAATTAGGCCTAAACATTTTAACACCCTGGCAAATTCCCAACAGTTCACAGTTAATGGAATAACCTTATGGATATTTGTTTGTTTTTGCTTATTTCAATTGAAATTTTCCCACATGAAGAGACAAAGCACAAAAGGAAAAAGGGAAGAGAAGGAGGGGATAACTATACACAGTTATCTACATTATGAAACAGTAACAGTTCATTGAGTCCATACTCAGTTGTGAAACTATAAGAAAGCATAATATATAACTATAAAATGGAATGTACACATGTAATAGGTGGAAGTATGGAAAGCTGTAGGGCTCTAACATGAGGAAAATGCTACAATCCTCAGAGGATGTAGTAACAAGGATTAAGTAATATTTAAAGCATTGTGAGGTTCCTGTGGATATTATGAAAATTCACAAGCAAGCATTTCTTAGTATTAATATTAAGATCAACAAATTGATTTTACCACCAAGTACACATCACTTTAATGCTGTCAGTAGCTGTTAGCCATAATTCACCATTGGGCATCCCTAATTGTGAAACAGAACTTGATAGAGCAATGTGATATTACATTAAAATTCCAAACAAAATTTCAATATTTTACCATCTGTATTGATGGTCACTCCATTATGGATTTAAATAATATGTTTTTATGTACGGTACAATAATTTAACACACTAAAAGTTTGCCCGATACCTTATTGGTTATTCTATTCTATTCTAATCTATTCTATTCCTTGCTATACATTAGCTATTGATTTAATTAACTATATAGATAATTCAAAATTGTAAATATATTAACACTATTATCAAATGTACTCACTATCGGACTAATAAATTGCTAATAGTACAAAACAAATACATGTTTAAATTTTATTGTTAACATCCTTATATTTTTTGCACCTTATAAGTTCATACTTTATTTATCTTTGTCTGAAACTCCCTTTCACTTTCTCCTCAAACTGTCCTTGAACTGACCATTCAGATCTCAACAAATAATGTTTGTGCCATGGTCAGTTACCTTTCAGTGTATCAGTGTGTGGGCGTGCTCTGACAATTTAAACTGAACATTTATGAACTATCCAGCACAGTGACAGAGAGGATACACATAGAAGTGTGCAATGCTTTCTCAGCTCCTGTTTGTGGGGCTTATCATGCTACACTTCACTAGGATGCTAGAAGGATATCTGTGAGTATGATGATTTCATTATGTATGTATGTCTAAAAGAAGCAGATGGTACCATGAAAGATACTTTTTATTATATTTTCCTTTTTATTTAAACATTACATTTTAACTAACACTTGGAGATCCACTATGATCACACACATTCTCCTGTCTTCAAATGCTTTGTGAAAACTCTCACAGTGACATGGGATCAACCAGCACTCTTGGCATTGTGGGATATCCAGCAAGCCATTAGTTGGTGGGCCGATTAGTGATGTCGCGAACATAAAATTTTCGGTTCGGGAACAGCAAACGGGCGAACCGGGCGAACCGCCATAGACTTCAATAGGCAGGCGAATTTTAAAACCCACAGGGACTCTTTCTGGCCACAATAGTGATGGAAAAGTTGTTTCAAGTGGACTAACACCTGGACTGTGGCATGCCGGAGGGGGATCCATGGCAAAACTCCCATGGAAAATTACATTGTTGATGCAGAGTCTGGTTTTAATCCATAAAGGACATAAATCACCTAACATTCCTAAATTGTTTGGAATAACGTGCTTTAAAACATCAGGTATGATGTTGTATTGATCAGGTAGTGTAAGGGTTACGTCCGCTTCACAGTGACAGACCAAACTCCCCGTTTAACGCACCGCAAACAACCGCAAACAGTCCATTTGCACAACCGCAAAACCATTTGCACAAGGTTGGATACCAAGCTAGCCATGTCCCGTTCCTTGTCCTCACTGATGTCATTGAAGGTCTCTTCCTCCACCCAGCCACGTACAACACCAAGGGTCCCCAAAAGGTTACAACAAGCCCCCTGGGACGCCTGCTGTGTTTGGTCTTCCACCTCCTCAAAGCCACCTTCCTCCTCTGACTCCTCTTCTTCAGACTGCTCTCTCTGCATTGCCTCTCTCTGCATTATTATAAGGTGTGTTAAGTAGTACTATTCCTATCTGTTTAATCCCTGTTATGTCTCCTATCAGGGGACGTGTATATGGCATCGATTTTAGGAACCGGGAGATGGAAAAAGATGCTTGGTCGGTCCTCCTACTTCAAATTTGGGGCACTGCCGTGCAATCTAATGTGCCACCAGATAGGAGTGGTGTGTTAAGTAGTACTATTCTTATCAGTTTAATCCCTGTTACGTCCCCTATCAGGGGACGTGTATATGGCATCGATTTTAGGAACCGGGAGATGGAAAAAGATGCTTGGTCGGTCCTCCTTCTTCAAATTTGGGGCACTACGCATGCAATCTAATGTGCCACCAGATAGGAGTGGTGTGTTAAGTAGTACTATTCTTATCAGTTTAATCCCAATGTCACGACTACTAGTGTGGTCCAGCACGCAGAAACTATGTAAACATATACATAGGCAAGAAAAGGAAAATAAAAGGACAGAGCGTAAACCGGACCTTAGAATGGCCGGACTAATACGCTATAGCCAGAGAATGGTCAAAGGGAAAGCCGAGGTCAAGGAAGCAAGAAAATACACAATACCATTTACACAAGCCAAGTCAGGGAAACCAGAATTCAAAATAACCAGGGAAAAGCCAAGATCAGGATACCAGGAAATCAGATTCACAATGATAAAGCACTCTCAGGAAACCAGGAACAGGAAACCACGACAGGGCAAGGTACTGGGGTGAGCTAGGGATTTAAATATCACGCGGCGGGCCGGCAGCCGCGACACCCTGTTACGTCCCCCTCATCAGGCCTTTTTTTAGTCGAATGTATCGCCCACTGTCAGTCCCTTCGGGATCCATCCCTCATTCATCTTAATAAAGGTAAGGTAATTTAGACTTTTTTGACCTAGGCGACTTCTCTTCTCAGTGACAATACCTCCTGCTGCACTGAAGGTCCTTTCTGACAGGACACTTGAAGCAGGGCAGGCCAGAAGTTCTATCACAAATTGGGATAGCTCAGGCCACAGGTCAAGCCTGCACACCCAGTAGTCAATGGGTTCATCGCTCCTCAGAGTGTCGATATCTGCAGTTAAGGCGAGGTAGTCTGCTACCTGTCGGTCGAGTCATTCTCTGAGGGTGGACCCCGAAGGGCTGTGGCGATGCATAGGACTTAAAAAGCTCCACATGTCCTCCATCAACAGCGTCCTGTCCTTGCCGGCGTGGTCGTGGGAGGAGGAGGATTACTTTCACCTCTTCCCCTGATAGATTCCTGTTGTGCTGTGACATCACCCTTATACGCTGTGTAAAGCATACTTTTTAATTGATTTTGGAACTGCTGCATCCTTTCCGACTTGCCGTAATTCGGTAACATTTTAGGCACTTTCTGCTTATACCGGGGGTCTAGTAGCGTGGACACCCAGTACAGGTCGTTCTCCTTCAGCCTTTTTATACGAGGGTTCCTCAACAGGCACGACAGCATGAAAGACCCCATTTGCACAAGGTTGGATGCCGAGCTACTCATGTCCTGTTCCTCGTCCTCAGTGATCTCACTGAAGGTATGTTCTTCCCCCCAGCCACGTACAACACCACGGGTACCAGATAGGTGGCAACGAGCACCCTGGGATGCCTGTTGTGGTTGGTCTTCCTCCTCCTCCTCAAAGACACATTCCTCCTCTGACTCCTCTTCCTCACAATCCTCTTCCAGCGTTGCCGCAGGTCCAGCAAGCGATGCTGATAAGGCTGTTTCTGGTGGTGATGGTGACCATAACTCTTCCTCTTCCTCTTCACGCTCATCTACGGCCTGATCAGCACTCTTCGCAGGGCACGCTCCAGGAAGAAAACAAATGGTATGATGTCGCTGATGGTGCCTTCAGTGCGACTGACTAGGTTTGTCACCTCCTCAAAAGGACGCATGAGCCTACAGGCATTGCACATGAGCGTCCAGTAATGTGGCAAAAAAATTCCCAGCTCCGCAGAGGCTGTCCTAGCACCCCGGTCATACAAATATTCATTAACGGCTTTTTCTTGTTGGAGCAGGCGGTCGAACATTAGGAGTGTTGGATTCCAACATGTCGGGCTGTCGCAAATCAAGCGCCTCACTGGCATGTTTTTTCGCCGCTGGATATCCGAAAAGTGCGCCATAGCCGTGTAGGAACGCCTGAAATGGCCACACACCTTTCTGGCCTGCTTCAGCACGTCCTGTAAGCCTGGGTACTTATGCACAAAGCGTTGTACGATCAGATTACACACGTGTGCCATGCACGGCACATGTGTCAACTTGCCCAAATGCAATGCCGCCAACAAATTTCTTCCGTTGTCACAAACCACTTAGCAGATCTCCAGTTGGTGTGGAGTCAGCCACTGATCCACCTGTGCGTTCAGGGCAGACAGGAGTGCTGGTCCGGTGTGACTCTCTGCTTCCAGGCAAGTCAACCCCAAGATGGCGTGACACTGCCGTATCCGGGATGTGGAATAGTACCTGGGGAGCTGGGGGGGTGCCGTTGATGTGGAGCAAGAAGCAGCAGCAGAAGAGGACTCAGCCGAGGAGGTTATGGAAGAGGATGGAGTAGGAGGAGTAGAGGAGGTGGCAGCAGGCCTGCCTGCAAGTCGTGGCGGTGTCACCAACTCCTCTGCAGAGCCACGCATTCCATGCTTGGCAGCCATCAGCAGGTTTACCCAATGCGCAGTGTAGGTAATATACCTGCCCTGACCATGCTTTGCAGACCAGGTATCAGTGGTCAGATGGACCCTTGCCCCAACACTGTGTGCCAGACATGCCATTACTTCTTTTTGCACAATTGAGTACAGGTTGGGGATTGCCTTTTGTGCAAAGAAAATTTGGCCGGGTACCTTCCACTGCGGTGTCCCAATATCTACAAATTTTTTGAACGCCTCAGACTCCACCAGCTTGTATGGTAAAAGCTGGCGGGCTAAGAGTTCAGTCAAGCCAGCTGTCAGACGCCGGGCAAGGTGGTGACTTTGTGACATTGGCTTCTTACGCTCAAACATGTCCTTGTCAGACACCTGACTGTGGGCAGATGAGCAGGAACTGCTCAAGGCGAGAGACGGAGGGGCGGATGGTTGAGAGGGGGCAAGGAGGACAGCAGTGGTTAACGTGGCTGAAGATGCTGGACCAGGAGGAGGATGGCGGCTTTGAGTTTGTGTGCTGCTTGTACTCATGTGTTGATCCAATAGGCGTTTGTGATGTGTGATCATGTGCCTTCGCAAAGCAGTTGTACCTAGGTGGGTGTTGGACTTCCCACGACTCAGTTTCTTTTGGCACAGGTTGCAAATGGCATCACTGTTGTCAGAGGCAGACACACAAAAAAAATGCCACACTGCTGAGCTCTGCAATGACGGCATTCTGGTGGTGGCAACAGCATGCGTTGATTGGCGTGCTGTCTGGCTGACTCCGGGTGCCGATGCATGCTGTCTGACTTTGCCACTAGCTCCTTGCGACGACATCCCCCTGCTTCCAACTCATCTCCTCCTCCTCCTCCTCCTCCTCTCTGTCTCCCCATCTGAACTTTCCCCCTGTTCTTCTTCTCTTCTAGCGGGCACCCACGTGACATCCACAAACGCATTGTTATCATCAACCGCTTCACTTGTATCTGACAACTCAGCAAAGGAAGCAGCAGCGGGTACAACATCATCATCATCACACCGTACGTCCATGTGTTTAATGCTGCCTGACTGAGACATATACCTGTTATCTACATCCTCTGGCAATAATGGTTGCGCATCACTCATTTCTTCCAACTGATGTGTAAATAGCTCCTCTGACATACCAAGTGAAGCTGCTGTGGTGCTAGTGTTGGTGGTGGCGGCAGTCGGCGAGTGGTAACTTGAGAGGTGCCCGAAGCTAAGCTGGAGGAGGATGGTGCGTCAAAGTTCCGAGCGGAAGCTGTAGAAGATTGGGTGTCCTGTGTTAGCTATTGTGACACCAGTGAGTGAGTGGTGGCACTGGGCGGGCCCTGAAACGCAGACTCGTGAAGGAAACTGACTGCTATTATATTACAGTCAAAAAAGTTTTGTTTTTTTTAAATGCAAGCTATTGTGACACCAGTGAGTGAGTGGTGGCACTGGGCAGGCCCTGAAACGCACACTCGTGAAGGAATCTGACTGCTATTATATTACAGTCCAAAAAGTTTTGTTTTTTTTAAATGCAAGCTATTGTGACACCAGTGAGGGAGTGGTGGCACTGGGCAGGCCCTGAAACGCACGCTAGTGAAGGAAACTGACTGCTATTATATTACAGTCCAAAAAGTTTTGTTTTTTTTAAATGCAAGCTATTGTGACACCAGTGAGTGAGCGGTGGCACTGGGCAGGCCCTGAAACGCACACTAGTGAAGGAAACTGACTGCTATTATATTACAGTCCAAAAAGTTTTTTTTTTTTTAAATGCAAGCTATTGTGACACCAGTGAGATAGTGTTGGCACTGGGCAAGGCTGGCAGGCAGGCAACTGCAGTTACATTACACAGAAGAAAAAAAAAAGCAGACTGATGTTCTAGCCCTAAAAAGGGCTTTTTGGGGTGCTGTCCTTACAGCAGAGATCAGATGAGTCCTTCAGGACTGTAGTGGACACTGAATACACTAGCCTAGCTATCAATTTCCCTATCAAATCATCAGCAGCTACACTGTCCCTCCTCTCACTAAGAATGCAGCTTCACAATGAATGTAAAATGGATGCTGTCCAGGAGGTGGGAGGGTCTGGGAGGGAGGGTCTGCTGCTTATTGGCTGGAATGTGTCTGCTGACTGTGAGGTACAGGGTTAAAGTTTACTCAATGAGGACAAATAGGGGGCGGACCGAACAGTGCATATGTTCACCATCCGTGGCGAACGTGAACAAGCGATGTTCGCAGGAACTATTCGCCAGCAAACCGTTCGGGATATCACTATCTGTAATCCAAGTGAACACTAATTGTACCAATCACTAATTAAATACATTTGAAAGTGTCCTTATTCCACAGCCAATACACCAACATCTAATGAGTGACCAGTCTGACCAAAACAAATCAATAATTAGGAGATGTAATTATGTAATGATCACTATTCAAAACTTAGTGCTCTTGAGATTCAAACAAGATAGTTAAATATACACTCTAGTCACCAGAACCACCACAGCTTAATGTATTGGTTCTTGAGTATATAGCCCTTTCTTGCAGGGTCAGCAGTGTAAATGCTGCCATTTCAGAGAAAAGGTAATGCTTATAAAGATGGCTAAGACCACCTCAACAAATCAATATGAGGAGAGGTGCCCCGACTGGGCACCTCCGTTGATGGACACTTCCTAGCTGACGCCGAGGACCATAAGCACTGCACCAGACACAACAACCACCGCAGACTCCACAACCACTGTAGCTTAACTGGAGTCTCGCCGTCGTCCCTCCACCCTGGATCAACCTCTGACTTCCAGGACCGTGTGGGCAAGACCTCTCCTCCAGGAGAGCGTATCAGGAACAGCTCTTAAAAGTGCTAAGCGATTAGAGCTCAGGGGAGTATACAAAGTATAGCAATCCCCAGTGTGATTTTAGCAGTTCCCTACAATAGCGAGACAAGACTACGTATTGAGGGTTAAGCAGATCAGAATGAACTGAGGGTTTAATGTCTCTTTTATAAGTTTATATAAGTTTTCCCACAAGGTTACCACCCATATGGACCTTGTGGAGCACAGGACTTAAAGTTACAAAGCCAATCAAAACACTCTTGTACAGTTAGGCACTCCCAGATAATGTACACAAACACTCCCCTCTACCTGTGATAAAATTACCAAACACAATGGGCTAACTCAATTACCCACAGGCAGAAAACACAAATTTTTCACAAAACACAGAAAACACCCCAAAACACCACATAACCCCACATAACACCCACAAAACACCATACATCACTGCATAGCCCTGATCTGGGTGAACAACATATCCAAAAATCACCCTGATCAGAGCAGGCGTTCAAAAGTTTTGTGGAAGTCACATTTGACCGACTGCAAGCATGGTTTTCATGCCCAAAATAGTTCCACAGATTTAGGCTGTGCGACCGGTCTATCTTCTCCTCTATCCTGGTGATAATTGGCTTAAGTGGCTGTGGTAACTTAATTATCTCCAGGTACAGGAAATATCTCTAAGTCAAAAACTGTTACAAAAACCACATAAAAATACACAACTCTTATAATACAATGTTTAACCTATATGTCCAACATATCCCCAGATAGCTTGGATCTGAGCGCTCAATATGTCCAATGTTAAAAGTGCACTATAGTACAAATAAGGGTGGGGTCAGAAAATAGCAGGGGCTGATGGTCTGGCAGTGTTCCTGGGACAACGCCCTGCTGGAGAACAATAGGACAGGAAAAGGGGGAGGGGAAGAGGCACATTTTCCCATGGAAGTCACTTTTTAATATGTCTTTTAGCCATGGGCCATACTCACAGGGCAGAATGCTGGCAATCAGGCCCCTCCAAAAGCCTGTGGCGAAGGGTAGTTTGTCCCAATAAGTATTATTTTAAACAATCTGCTCATTATTTCCTTAATATAATAACATGTCTCTCTTGTTAGTTTTTTTTTCTACAAAGGGGAATATGCCATTACAGAATATAACTATCCCTGCAACTCTGGTAAGATCATTGCATTATAAACTATTGTTTGCATTCTGCTCCTTACCCAAACCCTACATGCACTAACACCACCAACAAGCTGTGTTACTTCACTGCAATCTTTCATCAACATTAATTCACAGACAAGCACACAAATAAACATGATGTGTTACACAAGTATACCCCTAAATCTACATTCAAGTATAGTTATGTACATATATACTTTTCATCAGCTCAAAACAGGGCCAAACAAATACACATAAAGGCCTAACATAACTTTTAAAGTAATAAAAAATGAATAAGAAGACCGGATGGCAAAAAAATAATAATCCAACTAGGCTCATTGAGGACTCCACAAAGAGTTTACATTGTAGGAAAAGCCCAGTGCTCTGATTAGTTTGCTTTTAAGCATGCCAACCAGAACATTCTGACAGGTAAGTCTCACTTAATTTGCACACACTTGTCTTGGGATAAGTGAGATTTGCCTGTCAGAATGCTCCGACTGAAACTGCAAGCTTAATCTTGATGGGCAAAATTTGATTTTTTTTTTCTTTTGCTTCACATTGTTTGTTTTATTTTATTTTTTCTATTTTGTTTGTGATACAGTTTGTATTTAAAAAAAATTAAGTTTTTTGGACCTTTAATATAACTATTAAAAGGGACACTATAGTCACCTGAACAACTTCAGCTTAATGAGGTTGTTCAGTTGAGAACTATAGCTCCCTGCAGCCTTTCTCATCTAAACACTGTATTTTCTGAGAAAATACAGTGTTTACATTGAAAGCTAGGAACACCTCCAGTTGCAGTCACTCAGAGTGAACCAGAGGGACTTCTGAGTTGATGGAGGCATAATATGCCTCCATCCACTCAGATCTGCTGTGCACAGCATCCTGTGATTCAGTATCTCCTCCCTCTGCATGCAGACACTGAGCTTTCCTCATAGAGATTAATTGATTCAATTCATCTCTATGAGGAGATGCTGAATGGCCAGGGCTGTGTTTGAATCATGCTGGCTCTGCCCCTGATCTGCCTCTTTGTCAGTCTCAGCCAATCCTATGGGGAAGCACTGTGATTGGATCAGGCTACCACATGTTAGCAGACTGCTTGTTTTTCTGAGTCTAACAGCATGCAGATTTACAGCTTCAGGCATGAATACAGTAAGATTTTTAATATATATTTATGGAGGCATGAGGGGCGCAGGGGGGCTAGATGGTGGTGTTAACACTAAAGGGTCAGGAATCATCGTTATCACACTATTCAGGCTGTCAAACAGTTAACCGGTCTAGTTATGTCCAGGTAGATAAGCTCAGTTGAGCTAAACTCAAGAGGCAGGCATCTGTGCAGAGAACCTGCCTTGCAAAGACTTCTCATCAAACGGCATTGGAAAGTCTTTGATTGGACAGCCACAGAAAGTCTGGGTGGGCTTAGAAGAGGAGGAGTTGCAATGACTTCAAACAGCAGATTTAACACTTTTGCAAGCTGGTTTTATGAATTACATGCATGCATGATTATGTTTGGGGATTGGGTATTATCTACTAAACAGTGATTTTATTTTTGTTTGAAAAGTGCCGTGTCTCTTTAAACTACATGAAAATATCAATGTCAACGTCATTACTATCAGGAGAATTTCTTAATGCTGCTTAATACTTGACTTTGTTTTTTTTAGATGAAAATGCAAGCAATAAAACATGAAGACTGGAAAAGCAGTATTATCTGAAAATAAGAGAAAAACCAGTGGATGTTCATAAAAATATTTGTATTATCATGAAATAAATATGATTGTCTTCTTCATGTCTTGTCTTGTGCATTTCTATAATTGGCGTATAGTTTCATAGTTGCATAGTTACATAGTAATACATAATGAAAAAATATTCCATGAGGTCCATGAGACTCAGTATTTCACACATCTGCATTATTGCTGTTTATATACAAATTGAAGTCTAAACTGATGACCTCTTTGTTGTCTTAATAATGAACTGATTTATAGAGAGCCATTTTCACTGGCCCTGTAGATATCTGATGTTATCAGATCCAGTCTGACTTGTCTTGTTTTCTAAAGTAAATATGTTAACGGTGTTTAGCCTTCCTTAAGGACTAAAATCTTCCATTCCCCTAATAAATTTTGTTGCACGCTTCTGCAATGTTTTTACTTCCATTACATCCATAAAACAGGTCCCCGAATTTGCATTGCATCATGTATTCAAGGTATGGTTTTACAACGAATTTATAAAGAGGCAAAATTATACCACTTTGTTTGCGTAACAATACACAACTGGCTTTAGTAACTGCTACCAGACTGCACATTCTTGTCTGCTGTCTATATCTATTCTCAAGCACTTCTTATTTATTGTTTCCCTGTATCATTTGTTTGTGCATTCCTCACCCCAAAATGCACGCCTTTAAGTTATCTATATTAAATCTCTCCTTTGACTTTACTGCTAAGCCCCCTATTTTTCTAAATAAAAAGTACTATGCTCCATATTACTTTTTTTTTTTTTATATCCAAGCATCTTATGTGCTTGGTTAATGCTTTGTTTATAAAAAAGATGGTGGCTTAAAATAATAAAATGCTGCTTGGAGAGTTATACTTGATTTTTTGTATATGCAACCATATGTTCTAAGCATAAAAGATGTACAGTTGCAAGAAAAAATATGTGAACCCTTTGGAATAATATGGATTTCGGCACAAATTGGTCATAAAATGTGATCTGATCATCATCTAAGTCACAACAATAGACAATCAAAGTCTGCTTAAACTAATAACACACAAAGAATGAAATGTTGCCATGTTTTTATTGAACACACCATGTAAACATTCACAGTGCAGGTGGAAAAAATATGTAAACCCCTAGACTAATGACATCTCCAAGAGCTAATTGGAGTCAGATGTCAGCCAACTGGAGTCCAATCAATGAGGTGAGATTAGAGGTGTTGGTTACAGCTGCCCTGCCCTATAAAAAACACACACCAGTTCTGGGTTTGTATTTCACAAGAAGCATTACCTGATGTGAATGATGCCTCACACAAAAGAGCTCTCAGAAGACCTACGATTAAGAATTTATGACTTGCATAAAGCTGGAAAGGGTTATAAAAGTATCTCCAAAAGCCTTGCTGTTCATCAGTCCATGGTAAGACAAATTGTCTATAAATGGAGAAAGTTCAGCACTGCTGCTACTCTCCCTAGGAGTGGCCGTCCTGTAAAGATGACTGCAAGAGCACAGCGCAGACTGCTCAGTGAGGTGAAGAAGAATCCTAGAGTGTCAGCTAAAGACTTACAAAAGTCACTGGCAAATGCTAACATCCCTGTTAGCGAATCTACAATACGTAAAACACTAAACAAGAATGGATTTCATGGGAGGATACCACAGAGGAAGCCACTGCTGTCCAAACAAAACATTGCTGCACGTTTACAGTTTGCACAAGAGCACCTGGATGTTCCACAGCAGTACTGGCAAAATATTCTGTGGACAGATGAAACCAAAGTTGAGTTGTTTGGAAGAAATACACAACACTATGTGTGGCGAAAAATAAAGGTACAGCACACCAACATCAAAACCTCATCCCAGCTATGAAGTATGGTGGTGGGGGCATCATGGTTTGGGGCTGCTTTGCTGCATCAGGGCCTGGACAGATTGCTATCATCGAAGGAAAAATGAATTCCCAAGTTTATCAAGACATTTTGCAGGAGAACTTAAGGCCATCTGTCTACCAGCTAAAGCTCAACAGAAGACGGGTGTTGCAACAGGACAATGACCCAAAGCATAGAAGTAAATCAACAACAGAAAGGCTTAAACAGAAGAAAATATGCCTTCTGAAGTGGCCCAGTCAGAGTCCTGACCTCAACCCGATTGAGATGCTGTGGCATGACATCAAGAAAGCGATTCACACCAGACATCCCAAGATTATTGCTGAACTGAAACAGTTCTGTAAAGAGGAATGGTCAAGAATTACTCCTGACCGTTGTGCACATCTTATCTGCAACTACAGGAAACATTTGGTTGAAGTTTTTGCTGCCAAAGGAGGTTCAACAAGCTATTTAAATCCAAGGGTTCACATACTTTTTCCACCTGTACTGTGAATGTTTACATGGTGTGTTCAAAAAAAACATGGCCACATTTCATTCTTTGTGTGTTATTAGTTTAAGCAGACTGTGATTGTCTATTGTTGTGACTTAGATGATGATCAGATCACATTTTATGACCAATTTGTGCAGAAATCCATATCATTCCAAAGGGTTCACATACTTTTTCTTGCATATATATACAGACTCTCGTGGATATTCCTTATATCAAATAAATAAAATCTCAAATACAAAAGAAAATAAATAAACTTAGTGTTTAGGTGATGTACCCCACCAAAAACAGAAAGTGCAAGTGCAGCGCTAAAATTTGTGTAGGACAACAATTACTCAATAAAGCGTATACTGGGGCAGCATGTAGCCATATAGAAGGAAATACAAAACTAACAAAAAATTGTGCAATTCTGTGTGGCAAGTACAAATTAGTATTATAAACATATATTTTTTTACATTTAAATTAAAATGTATTTATTACAATTAACTGAAATTAAACATGCTAATTAATATTAAAAATTAATGATCAGAACTGAAAATATATGTCATAATTACAAGAAACATAAAACCTATTGCGCTTAACAATTAAAAAATATAATACTCAATTAATAAAAATGTTAATACCCAAATGTATTTAAAATGCACATAAAACACAGAAGGTGTATTTGAAAAGTGGTGTGGTGCATATGTAAAAATGAGTAAGTAGATGATTCAAAAGGCACTCAGTTTCCATCGGGAGTCCAGACTGCTAACCTCTACACCATGGAACCAATGTGCAAAATTTGCTGGTAGAATATTTGGTTCTTAGAACATCTGCAACAGTAGCATATTTCCTCTCTCTCCACTTGTGGATGCTTAAATGGACACTCCAGACCTTTAAAGCACTTTAGCTTGCTGACAAGTAATATAGACATTGTATAGGCACATATAAACATTATAAAGAACAAGGGTTGTAGGCGCTTTAAAACTGAATCAGAGATATAGTGTGTATCAAAGATGTATCCCCTAATCACCTGTAGCTGGGAAAAAAGAGACACAAGAAGGGGGTAGGGGAAGTAAATGGCAAAAAAAAATAACTGGGGGAAGTAAGAGACACACAAGGGGGGATAAGATGCACTAAATATGCATCGTATTCATACAAAGTGCATAAAAAGATGCATACAGAGTGGCTAAAAAGGTAAGAAATTCAAAGAGGGGGTTATGAGACATACAAGTGAAGACACATTTTTGGGGGGGGAGGTGGCATGATGCATCTTTGCCAGTGTGGCCAAAATGTTTGCACTGGCCCTGACTACACTCACAATCAGACATGGTATACACATAGTGACACACTGCCGCAAGCACACACAATATACACAAACTGATATGGTATAGACACAATACTACACTTACACAATACACATGCTTACACTCACTGCTACGCATACACAATACTACACACAGTCAGACATTATAGAATAAAAGACAAAAGAGGTTTCTAGCACTTACAATGTCCAAATGTATAAGGCAACTGTTACTCCCGAGCCAGAGTCTCTCTTGTCTGGTCGTTGAAATGGAGAAGAGGAGATAAAAAATAAGCGCCTTGGAGGGGTCGTCAAATTCCAAGTGGCATGTAGTGGGAAAAGAGAGTAGAAATATATGGTGCAGTATGTCAAATTTTCAAATTAAAAACAGAAGGAAATACACTTATATTGTAGGGAGCTATCTCTTAGCTCTAGATATAGCACCTGGGCAGGAAAACATAGTATAAGTAAGGCTATTCATATGCAAACTTAGTCTGGTCATATCAATACATAGAAAAGAGTAAACCGTGTGACACAGCAATGTCACCACACCTGACAGGCAGTTCTATCGAGTCTGCCATCAATGAGCAACAATTGACACTCTATTAAAAATATTTTTTAGGTTTTTTTCCTCAAACTTGGCTATTTGTGGATAGAGAGTATTTAGGATTTTTTTTAATATCCATTGAAATTTGATTGATTGGCTCCTGTATTTAAGATTAAAGGGACATTCTAAGCACCAAAACCAATGCAGCACACTGTTGTGGTTACGGAGCAAGGAGTCTCTTGGTGCCATTTCAGAGTAAGCCTTTAAACCATTGCCCTAGTCTGCATTGATATGCTAAAATTTAAGTTTATTCTTCCACATTAGCAATGTAAAATGTAGATGTTATTCATTGGTTGAAAATATGAGCTGAAGATGCTTATAAACACAAAATACAGGAATATATAATTATGGATACACTGACACCTCTAGACCACCAAATGACACTCATTATCCACAGGTCCTGGGGTCTTTGAATACCTGCTCTTCAACTTTAAGTTGTATCTTGAGAACATTCCGTTACTCATAGCATAAAATGTTTAAAATATTTTGTAATGGGAACATGTTAGACTGATCCCCAGCTTGGGATCCAGACCTGTCCATCCATTCTTCTTTGACAGCACCACCATGATTCTTCAGGGTAAGGTCATGTCATTTACACAGTAAACAGGCAGATATCACCTTTTCTAAATAATTCTTGGGGTAGGAAAGAATCAACCCCTCTGAGTTCTCCCAACACCTTCTTTACAAATATGCTTTTGGATCACAGGCCAAAGTGATTATGCTTTCAGCACACAGCTCCACAGACTCTGTTACCATGCTAACCAAATAATAAAGATAACATTCCTCTTCAGGGGGGCAAAATATCCCAAATATTTATTCATCACATGTA